TGGAAAACATCACTGTCGATAGGTAAAAGGCTTTAGCCGCGTCAAACTGTGACTAGTTTTAATATTCATGTATGTTGTCCAGATAAGCCGATGGCCAAAGGCTTTCTTCACTTGTGGAGTTCTTTTAATTTTCTTTTTTAATGATCACTCACCAATTTAGTGTGATTTTACTTTACCATGCCAGCCTGCTGTAAATGACACTCATATGAGGTTTTGTTGAATTGTCAATGCAGCTAAGATTGCTGATATTTAATCCATTGAAGGGCTCAAGCTCTATTCAGTGCCACTCAACGCTGGAGTTTATCCTTCAGTTTGACTTCTTCTTCCGGCTCTTGGAGAGTTCAGACGCTTTATTCCTCCTCTCCTCCCTATCTTATCCCAAGGCTCTTTGTCTTTGGATGTACGGCGTTTCTGCATTTTTTCTGGAAACTGGAAATTATTAAAATGGACCTGGTCAGTTGGTCTCTCAACACGATTGACAAGATTTTTTCAACGATGAGAACGGGAGAAGGGGCTCCCGGGTGCCCCTCTGGGACAGAGCCAGCTGGGTATATCATGGACTTCTGGAAACAGTGGAACCTGATCTGCCTCTCTCAACTGTCTGTAGAGGATTCTGAAGATGTCTGGATATTCGTGGTGTTGGGGTCGGGATTCCTGCTGTTTGGCCTGAGCGGTTACCTGGCTAACCGGAAAATTTATGAGCTGTCGAGGACTATTGGCTCAATCCCGGAGCACAGGGATGGATTACGCCGCGCTGTGAACGCACAAACTCATATAATTGTCGAGATGAGTCGTAAGCTTGGAACTTTGGCTGAGATTCAGACTCTGGCACAGAAGGCTGATTCGATCAAGGATAGAGTTGACGGATCAGCATGGATTGGGATAGATTAATTTACGCCATTATTGGATTCAGAGGGGTTGGAGACCAACAGAACACTAAGGCAGAGAGGAAATTATCTCTGTCTGACCCCAGAACAAGTTCTTATCTGAATCTGGTGCCCTTGAGCCTGTGAGGCTGAAGTGATTACTCCCCCCCAGATGAAATGTGGAATGCTGCCGTCGCTATGGTAACTCTGTCTCCCTATCCCAGCCTGAGCGGGACTGTGACCGGTGAAGGCCGTGTTACCATTTCCAGGAGTCACTATGCTCTCTAACCCAATTACCTCCCTCCCCTGTCCAAACGGAGGTGACGAGTGCTGCTCATCGTGGCTGCATGCACTGATGTGAGGAGAGTCCCCAACCCTACCTCCCCACTTAGTGGACACTTATGTTGTGTGATGTCTGAAGTCTGTTGCATTTCTGTCTGAGGTGTTTTTTTGCATAGCAAAGCTGCCCTCCCTGTGGAGGGTAACTCTAAAGTGCCTTTTTTTCCTCTACCTGACTCAGTCCTCATATAAACCCTCTGATCTCTATTAAGGTAGCGCGACTCGGGTTGTGAATTACCACAGTCACTAATTCTTGTCATGTGTCTATGCCTATGTACGCATGTCTGATCTCAGAATTGTGTGTACTGAAACTCTAATTTCCCTCTGGGATTAATAAAGTATCTTTGAATTTGAATTGACTTTCAAACACATTCAGAATTAAATTACGCCTGTGAAGCTGAGGAAACCTCGGCTCAAAGCCGAGCCCTGGCTTTCTTGAGGACACACAGACTTGTAGACGGGTCTGTAGGGAAACGAAGAGGAAATGAAAAGAGATGGTCTCCAAATCTCCAACCCTTTTTAATGTGCTTAATTCAGTGATGAATTTTTTTTAACCTAGTCAGTTGTCTCCATTCGCTGGAAATTATGAAGAGTTCCCTTACTACTTTGTGGCGAAAGTTTCTAATATTTGAGCTTCAATTACAGCCTCAACATCTGTCCCTGTGGTCCTGTTGCGTCCTGGGGCAACAGTAGACTTAAATCAAATTCTGTGTCTGAGTTAGGTAAATTGGTTTCACAGTTGAAGCCATCTGGTTCACCCTGCAATATTCTCCCACCTCGAATCTACAAGGACGCATTTTCATCAATGGCCCCTTTTTTCCAGACAATCATAAATGGCAGCCTTCTTGCAGGTGTGGTTCTCTTAAAAAAAAAACTGGACTGGATTCATTATTGTTGGCCAACTAAAACTCCTGTTTCTCTCCAAGCTTATGTAAAAGGATGTTTTTTTTACAACTGGTGGGGTTCTTGAAGTCTCACAACATTTTGGAGACATTCCAGTCAGGTTTTAGAGCAGGACATGGCACAGAGCCAGCTGTTGGATCTTAATTATATATTTTTAGCTGGTGATAAGGGTGATGCTGTTGTCCTTTTGTTACTGGATTTGACATCCTGCTGGATCATTTGCAGAATTGGGTGTGGGTTACAGGGGTGGCTCTCCAATGGCTCTGATCCTATCTTGAAGACAGGAGTTTCTGTGTGTGGATGGGTGAAGCTTCTTCAGCTTGGGAAAGACACAGATAGTGGGTCCCTCGGGGCTCAGTCATTGGGCCCCTTCTGTTTACACTCTACCTCTTGTTCCTATGAGTCCTCCTGCAGCGACATGGTGTTTAATTCCATTTCTATGCAGATGATTTCTAGATATACTTGCCCCTCTCTCTGGTGGCAGGAGGCTCTGTGTCTGCATTGTTGGACTGTTTAAGGAAGGTTAAGGCATGGATGGCCTCTAACTTCCTCTTTTTAAATGGGTCAAAAACTGAGATCATAATACTAAGCCCTGGTGAAAGAGCTGGAGCAGGAGTTGAGACTGATCTTGCTTCCTTGGCATGATATGAAAAAAATGTGGTCACTAATTTAGGGATGAAATCGATGAGCCCTTAAATTTAATGTGCAAATAAACATGGTTGTTTGGGCATGCTTTTTCAATTTGAGACGGCTGTCTAAGGTAAAGTCTCTCTTGTCAAAAGTCCACTTGGAAACAGTGGTACTGTAATGCATTGTATGTTGGACTGAATCAGGCTGCAACTGCTCGGCTCCAACTTGTTTAAAACTCTGCTGCTAGCTTCCCTGCACTTGCTTCCGGTATACTATCGGGCAAAATTTAAGATCCTACTCTATGTGTTCAGGAAACTGCAGGGTGCTGCTCCACCATATCAAGCTGCACTGCTGCACAGGCATGTCCTCTCTCGGGCCCTTCGCTCAACTGGGCAGGAGTTGCTGGAAGTCCCGCGCTATAAACTAAGACCAAAGGCAGACCGGGCCTTCTCAGTAATGGCACCAACCATTTGGAATGAGCTCCCTCTAACAGTAAAGCAAGTTCTATCTCTGTGTTTTGGTCTTGCTTGAAAACAAATTTTTTTCTTGGTGGCTTTCCCCCCAACACCACTGACATTGGCAATCATAATTTACCTGCTTTTGAAAATGTTTTTATCTGTGTTTTTCTATATATTGCTTTTATGCTATTTTTTTATGTCTTATTAGTTACTAATATGATGTCTTTCTAAGTTTTTATGTACTGTGCAGCACCTTGGGCCTCTGTTAAGCAAGTAGAGGGGCTATATAGATAAATCTGATTGATTGATTGATATAAGCTAGAAGAGCAGAAGGAGAGCCTTGGATAAAGGAACACTTAACCCCCTGGAGTCTGTGGTATAATTAGCCAGTTTGACAAGTTGAAGTGTTTGCATTTATATTTCACTCTATATTTTACTGTTTGTCTTGTTTGGTATCATTCTTTTTCGCACAACATTACCTATGTGACTCTGGAGTAATTAAACTTCGTTTTATCATACTGTATTAGCATACAGAACCGGAAAATACACAAAAAAATCTAAATCCGAGTAGAAAAAAATTACATATTTATTGCAGTAAAAACCACAAACATTTGAACCATTTTCAGCACTCAGCATAAAACTATAGGGTGTGAGTAAAAGAAAAGCTCTAATCTAACAAACCACTGTTAAATGCAAGTTTTTTTGCAAAAACATGCAAGGTGTTTTCATGTAAAATTGCTGTTATGCTAAAAATTGAGTTTCACACACCTTCTGTCTACCTTTGCCACTTCCAAAAATGTCCAGCAGAAGAGAAGATCAGGTTTAGCAAGCCACAAAATTATATAGATATATTTACAAAGTAGGTGCCATGACCAGAAGTTTGTCTGCTATGACTCTAAAGCCTGGTTCATGCTTCTCCGTCAGCTCCGCAAGGGACAGACACGCACGGACTGACGGAAGCGTTTTGCTCTTTTACTTCTCCGTCTCCTGGAGAGTGTTGCAAAGCAATTGCCCGGCAGGACAACAGAGGGCGTAGTGCTGTTCTGTGGTATCCTGTCATGTATCGGTCCAAGATCGTGTGTTTATATTGTTTTTTTTTTTTGTATATAAGAGACTTTTAACACGGACATATTTGTCCCTCATCCTCCTCCACCTCTTCATGCGCTCCCCACCTCTAAACCCACGTTTCCTGTCATTTCCGTCCACAAATAAAACGCTTGCTGCGCATCTTTTCACTCCTCCAGTCACGGGAGAATTAAACGTTCATGTTTTTAGTTCTGTTAAGGGCCATTCAGTCCCTTTACCAGAGGAGCGTGAGTTTGGTCCGCATAGCCGGTAGTAAGTCGGACCTGTTCCCAGTGAGGGTTGGACTCCGCCAGGGCTGCCCTTTGTCACCGGTTCTGTTCATTACCTTTATGGACAGAATTTCTAGACGCAGCCGTGGTGTGGAGTGTCGAGTTTGGTGGCAGGAGAATCTCGTCTCTGCTTTTTGCGGATGATGTGGTCCTCCTAGCTTCATCCAGCTCTGACCTTCAGCTCTTGCTGGGTAGGTTCGCAGCCGAATGTGAAGCGGCTGGGATGAGGATCAGCACCTCCAAATCTGAGACCATGGTTCTCGACCGGAAAAGGGTGGCTTGCCACCTCCGGGTCGGGGGAGAGGTCCTACCTCAAGTGGAGGAGTTTAAGTATCTCGGGGTCTTGTTCACGAGTGAGGGTAGGAGGGATCGGGAGATCGACAGGCGGATTGGTTCGGCGTCTGCAGTGATGCGGACGCTGAGCCGATCTGTCGTGGTGAAGAGGGAGCTGAGCCAGAAAGCCAGGCTCTCGATTTACCGGTCGATCTACGTCCCAATCCTCACCTATGGTCATGAGCTTTGGGTAATGACCGAAAGAACGAGATCGCGGATACAAGCGGCCGAAATGAGTTTCCTCCGTAGGGTGGCCGGGCTCAGCCTTAGAGATAGGGTGAGGAGCTCGGACATTCGGGAGGGACTCGGAGTAGAACCGCTGCTCCTCCGGATCGAAAGGAGCCAGTTGAGGTGGTTTGGGCATCTGGTCAGGATGCCTCCTGGACGCCTCCCCGGGGAGGTGTTTCGGGCATGTCCTGCCGGCAGAAGGCCCCCGGGTCGACCCAGGACACGTTGGAAAGGTTACATCTCCAATCTGGTCCGGGAACGCCTTGGGGTCCTGCCGGAGGAGCTGGTGGACAAGGCCGGGGAGAGGACGGTCTGGAGCTCCCTAATTGGGATGCTGCCCCCGCGACCCGGACCCGGATAAGCGGAGGAAGACGAAGATGTTTTTAGTTTTTTCGCGAGGTATTCTTCAAGCTGCTCTGTGTCTGCCGCTAGTTATCCTCGGCTCTCTTTGTGTTTTTGAGGGTGCAATGGCAGCGGTGTAGACGACAGCGGCGTCCTGACCAATCACAAGCTTGCGTTGTTCGTCTCGACTGACAGATGTTCAGAAAAGAGAGCTTGACTCCGTCCGTCCTTGCAGAGCTCTCCGGCAGGCATTCAAGGACGTTGCGTGTCTCCGCGCTGACGCAGACGGAGAAGCATGAATCAGGCTCTACACACAGCGGAACATTAGTGGCTTTAAAAATCCAGTGGGTGTCCTTCATGACTTTGTCCACCTGGAAGAAGCAATGAGCACACAATCCTGAAGCAGAAAGTTTTCCCTGCCTACACCTAGTAACTACTTATCAGAATCAGTAAAACTTTATTTATCCCCGAGGGGCAATTAAAAAAATTAACAGCAGAGCAGCATGATGTTGGACATACGAACATTGAATAAATAGGCAATAAGGAAGTAATAAAGCAGCAAGAAGATGGATAAAACAGTAAAGTATGCAAAAATCACTGAGTGACTAAAGTGTCGTCTGTATAAAAGTTAAATATATGGCGAGCCCCAGGAGAGGGTTTATCGGGGGATGGTCTTATCTGCTGGAGTTAAAGAGCAGAATGGCTTTGGGGACAAAGGTGGCTCTCCTCCTCTCAATCTTGCAGGAAATGCAGCGGAGGCGTCGCCCAGAGGGGAGCCATTGAAATGCGGGGTGAAGAATGTGAGAGGGGGATGTGGAGGATTTGGGCTGCCTGTCTCATCTCAGGGCTTGTTGATAGAAAACCTGAGCAAGAGTTCTGACAGGCAGGCCAACGATTTTGGAGCACACTGATGCAGTGTGCTGCAGTCTGTTCCTGTTCTGGAGGCTGAGTAGAACCAGCAAGTGATGGAGAAGGTCATGATGCTTTCCAGGAAGGCACAGTAAAAAGTCATCATGACTGAGGAGCTGACTCCAAAGGAGTTGAGCTTCCTAAGGAGATGTAACTGTTGGTGGCACTTTCTGAGAATCTCCTCTATGTTAGCAGAGAATTTCAGGAGGTTGTCAAAGGTGGTTCCCAGATACTTGTACTCCTCCACTACCTCCACTGGGTTCCCGTGGATAATGGTGGTTACTGAAGCAGCCAGATCCCTCTGCCTCCTGCAGAAGGTCACCACCATGTCTTTGGTTTTGCTCACATTCAGTTCAAGTTTGGAGCTGTCCCACCACTCTACAGACTCCTGAAGAGCAGGCCCGTGGTGTTGTGAGGAGCCTGACAGCAGTCACAGGAGGACTGTATCATCAGCGTATTTCACCAGGTGACAGTTGGGATGTGTGTATCTGCAGTCGTCGATGTAGAGCGGGGGGGGGGGGGGGGGGGGGGGGGGGGGGCACACAGCCCTGGGGGGAGCCGGTGGAGGTGGAACGGAGACCGGAGAGACAGTTGTTGACCCGAACTTTCTGAGTCCTGTTGGTTAAAAAGTCCAGTATCCACAGGGTTAACTGGTCATCCAAATGAAATTGGGAGGAAAGTTTCGTAGCCAGGATGTGAGGCTGCAGAGTGTTGAATGCTGATGAAAAGTCAACAAACAGAAGCCTGGCGGAGGAGTCAGGGAGCTCCAGATGTTTGTGGGTGGAGTCCACGATGAAGATTGTTGCATCATCGGCGCCTCTGCGTGCACGATAAGCAAACTGGAGCGGATCCATCAGGGGCTCAGTTGCTCTCACAATGTGCTCTTTTATGATCTTCTCCATGGCCTTCATCACCAAGGAGGTGAGCGCCACAGGACGAAGATCGTTAGGAGACTTTGGGTTGCTTCTTTTTGGGACAGGGATAACTGTGGAGTGTTTCCACAGCTGGGGGACGGTGTGACTGTTGTAATAGAGTCTGGAACACACTTCCTAGCTGCTCTGCACAATGCCTCAGAACTCTGCTACTGATGTTGTCAGGACCAGGTGAGCTCCTCTCCCTGGTCCTCCTGAGGGCTCTCACCACGTCCTCGGTCTGGAAGGCGAGTGCAGAGCTGCCAGGGTTGAATGAGGATCTGGAATCCTCAAGCTGGGAGATATTGTCCGTCTCAGACCTGGTGTAGAAAGCGTTGAGGTCGTCAGGGAGGGAGGTGGGGTTGCTGCCCTCCACCTGGATGGTTCTGGAGGTGGTGACCACAGTATTCACAGCAGCCATGGTGTTGAGCCGCTGCCAGGCTGAGCGAAGGTCCCCTGTGGTAATTTTTTTTTCCACATTGTTTTTATATTTCAGTTCAGCAGCTTTAATGCCCCTCTTGACCTCCCTGTTGACTTCTTTCTTGTCCTGTGCAGAACCGGTGAAGGATTTCCTTTAGCTGCTTGGTGATCCAAGGTTTGTTGTTGGGGTAGAAGGTGACTTGTTTTGAGGGGATGATGCTGTCTACACAGAAGGAGATGTATGATGATACTGTGTCGACTTGATTGTTGATGTCATCAGAGGAAGAAAGAAGGCTGACCCAGTCAGTGGCCTCAAAACATCCTTGTAGGGTGAGAATACTTTCCGCTGTCCACTGCTGGATGCTTCTGGTCACCTTTTTAATCCTCTTGATGACTGGGGTGTAAGCAGTGGGCAGCAGGATGGTGTGGTGGTCTGTTGAGCCAAGAGGAGGGAGGGAGAGGGCTTTAAATGCATCTGGTACCGAGCCAAAGCATTTGTCCAGAGTCTCCCCCTGACGTGTGCTGCATGTAACATACTGCTGGAAACCTTTAAGCAATTTGTCAGGGGAGCAGTGGTTGAAATCACCCAGGATGAACTTGGGAGAGTCTGGTGATAATTGTTCCAATTTGTCCAGACTGCTAATGAGGTTCTCTGTGGCTTTGGCAGCATCAGCTCTGGGGTGAATGTAGACCAAGATGGTGAAAAGCTGTGGGAATTCTCTGGGGAGATAATAGGGGCGCAGGGAAACAGCCAGAAGCTCGATATCTGTGGTGCGCTACTTCTCCCTCACAGTGACTGTAGCGCACCAGCTGTTGTTTACATAGAGACACACACCGCCGCCATGTTGCTTCCCGGTGCATTCGTGGTCTCTGTCCAGGCGAAAAGGTGGTGAAAAGCCATCAATGTGCAGCGTGCTGTCATCGTTACTGTTGTTTAACCATGACTCGGTGAAAGCCAGAACAGAAGCAGTTCGGTACTCATGCAAGTGGTTGACGCAGGCTTGCAGCTCGTCTAGCTTGTTACGGAGAGACCGGACATTAGCCAGGATGATGGACGGGAGCGCTCGTTGTTTGTGTGTTTCCCTCGAGTCTCGCTCTCACAACACCCTTCTTTAATCCCCTCCTGTTCACCTTGTATTTATGAGGTGTCAAATTTCCGTGTCCACGGAGTATTTCCTCGGGAAAGAAATCCGTAGGAACAGGGCGTAAAGGCTGTTGTCTGGGTTGCTGCTGCAGATGAATGAGGAAGTCTCTGGTATAGCAGAGCCTTGGGGTCATGATCCAAAATAAAGAAAAACACAGAAGGAGCGATAGAGTTGAAAATTAAAAAGGGTTAGGGTTGAGTTTAAAACGTTTAAAAGAACGCCATAACTGCTCAGCTGTCTGGCCGGTCGACCGCACGAGCAGCAACCAGGCTTTGTCTTATGCATGAATTATTTGATTGGGTGAATTAATTCTGAGTGACTTTGTGATTGGGTGATGCGGTTCATATCACAGCCTACAAGATGAGCTTGGTCTTGTTTTCTTCCCGACTCCGAGTCCTAGCTTACGGTGTGTGGCAGCGATAGCCGACAGATCGAATGCACAAAAGCAGCTTCATCTTGGCATGAATTATTCACCTTAAATAGTTTACTTAAACTTGAATGAACACATTAAATCACAACTGTTATTTAGTTTTAAGCCCCCTTTGTTGAAACAAGCTGGAACCATGATGCCAAGTGGTTTCCTGGTTGCATAACAACAAGAGTAATGTGAGCAGCGCTCTATCATGGGCTGACGAGTGGCTGACTCCAGAGGGTTAATTCTGAAGTTGATTTAATTCCCTTTTCCAACATGTGCTGCTAGAGGTGCCCAAAAGTTTTACACAGGTCTCAGAACAAGATTATTTAGACCACAAATCAACAAAACTGCTTTTTATTTGAGAAGTGATTGTGAAGGGCAGACCATCTCACCAAGTCATCAGAGGTCAGATGGGTCAGTCTCTCATGAAGAAGAGCAGCCTGCTCCTCACTCATCAACAACTCCCCCCTCCTATTGCCCACCACCAGTTCCGGCCACACGGGTCCCTCACTGAGCTTTTGCAGGGTCACCTGAAGGCTGCAGAAACATTAACAGAACAAAACAATCAGAACATGTGATCCACAGGCTGGGACAAGCAATTCAATTCAGCTTAGCACCAAATCAAAACAAGAGTGTTCTCAAGGCACTTCACAAAGTGAAGTCATCAGTGCATTGAGTTCAGTTCATTATGCAAATTAGTTAAAAGTTTCCCATGTAATTATCGAGTCACTGACTTGTGTCAGAGAATTTACAGCAATCCCAATATTAGGCAAGCATGTAGCAACAGTGGAGAGGAAAACTTCCTTTTAACAGAAAGAAACCTCCAACAGAACCTGGATTAGTATGAGCAGACATCTGCCATAATAGTAACAATGAGGCAGTTGGTATGTTTGGAACATTTTGGAGAATGTATAATGGTGCTAGTAGTACAGTAGTCCCTTGCTATAACGTGGTTCACCTGCTTGCTGTCTGCGGACTGTTTTTCTGTCGATAAATAAAAGACAACAATAACTAACATGAACAAAAATCCAATCAGAAAATGGAAAAGAAAGGCGAATGGAAAAAAGAACCTATCATCAATTGGGAGAGGCGGGACTAGACGAGAAAAGAATCAGAGTCCAGAGCGAGCCGCTGTTTGAACAAGCTAGCGGTAATCATATATGCCAGTACCAGTTGAACAATTTATGTCCAAAACAAAATGTCCACGGCGGAGAGGAAAAGCAATAAATGTGACCATCTAAAATATCTTTGCTTGGTGAGCACACATCCAGAGTTTCTCCTGGTTTTAAAAGTTACGTTGGTAGCAGCGAGCAGGGGCAGGAGAGGAGCGGAGTGCTGAACCTCAACCAAACCAAACGCACACAGCAGTGCATCTGGTTGCTTTATGCAATCGTGGTGCGACTACCCGGGTTCCGAGTTCCGAATCCAGGGGCAGGATGCTTGTGAGGACGGGTCCTCGCCAGCCTAGCAAGTTTGGGTCCTTGCATAACCACTAAAACTGGAATTCTGACAGTTCTAACCTTGATTTTATCCCCGCCCCCGGGTCCAGTCACAGCAACCGTAACGGCGGCAAACAGCCTAACAAGCTAGGAAAATGGATCCTGAACTCTGTTTTTTCCTTTTATATTTTTAGTTGAGGACCTGCTTAATGTCCATCGCCAGCGTTTTTATTTAAGGCTGAGAAGCAGCCTTATCCAGGTAAATTAATTTTTTGTTTTGTAAACTAGCTTTCAGGAATTATATGCTAACTTTGGCTAGTTTCATTTATATTTTAAGCTACTGAAAGACCTGTAGCTAAATGTACACATTACTATAGAATAGACTAGCATGTAGATGTTAACCCTAACCTTATATTAATTTTAATCCATCCATCCATTTTCATCCACTTATCCAGAGTCGGGTTGTGGGGGCAGCAGCCTAAGTCGAGAGGCCCAGACTTCCCTCTCCACAGCCACTTGGGCCAGCTGCTCCGGGGAATCCCAAGGCGTTCCCTGGCCAGGTGAGAGACATAGTCCCTCCCGCGTGTCCTGGGTCTACCTTTAGGTCTCCTCCCGGTTGGACGTGCCCAGAAAACCTCACCAGGGAGGCGTCCAGGAGGCATCCTGACCAGACGCCCGAGCCTCCTCAACTGGCTCCTCTAAAATATATTTTATTTGATCTTAATGCTTCTTTGTGTGCATGAAGTTTGTCGTAATTAAATAGCATTGAAATGTTTGTAATGTTTTCTGGCCTTTTCAACTTAAGCCTAATAATGCCTGGATCTTTTTTTTTAAATGTATTCATTTAAACATGTTTTAATGGTCTCCACTTTTCTTCTAAAAGAACAGACCCCTGTACTGCAGGATTAACCTGAGTGTCCCAGTCCTGGACCGCTTTTTTAACCACGAGGATCTCAGACCCGATTTTAGTCTAAGCAGCGAGTTTCTGGCGGTGTTGCTAAATCACCTGAACCAGGATCGGTGACATGGTTGGAGTGCTACAATCGAGACCGTGGTGTTTCTTTTCTGGTTGGCAAGTGGAAAATCCTACAGGGTGGTCTCGAGTGTTTGGGATGTCTCCCTCAACTGTCCACGACATCATCCATTCAGACACAGAGGAGGTGGTCGCCATTCTCCTACAGGTCATACTCCTCCCCAAAACCCCAGAGGAGGTGGAGGTTGAGTCTTGTGGGTTTGCTGGGCTGGCTCGCCACAAAGCTTTTCAGAAAGCAGCAGGTAAAAATCGACGGCTTCCACATCTGGATCAAGGCTCCAAGCGGTCCTGATGAACTGTGCAACAGAAACAAACTGTTTCTATCCATCATCCTGCAGGCAGTTTGTGACCATCAGGGCTGCTTGGTCGACACCTATGTGGGCTGGCCTGGGCCGGTCCACGATTCCAGGGTGCTCCACCACAGCCCACTGTACAGGCAGTCAGCCTATCCTCCTCCAGGGCACTTCATCCTCGCAGATGGAGGGTACCCATGCCTCCAATATCCACTCCCCCTCATCAGCCCCTACAAACGGGTGGTTCAAGGAGTGGGAGCCCAGCGCTTCAACAGCCATCATTCCAGGGTATGCTGCATCATAGAGTGTGCTTTTGGAATGATGAAGACCAGGTTCAGGGCCATCTTCCTGAAAGCACTGGAGGTGCACCACACCTTTGCACCTCATGTAAGTTAACACAATGTGGACAATAAGTTTGGGTGTATTCTTTGTTTTAGAATATTACATTCCTTTTTATCTCTATTACAGGTCATCACAGCATGCACCATCCTGCACAACACCTGCCTCAGTGCTGGTGACATTGTGGTGCAGGACGATGAACCTGAGGATGATGTTGCAGAAGATGAGAGGGAGGCTGGTTTGGAGGCAGTCAGTGGTGCCCTCTGGGGAGACCATCTTGCTGCTGAGGTGTCTGCTCTGGAGGAAGTACCACCAGACCACGATTACTGTTAACAGGCAAGTAATTTAGGTAGGAATCTCTAGTCCTAAACAGCATTTAGTCCTGTTATCTTCTAAACAGTTACAAGTATTACACTCATATACATCTCCTTTTTGCACACATCTGAATGTTAGTGATGTGACAGCCGTGGATTGAGCCAGCCCAGCAAACCCTTTTGATGGAGGATGCAGTGGTCAGTGAGATGAAGCATCCAGCAGCACCCTCAGCAGACCACCCTATATGATGTCCCACTCTCCAACCAGAAAAGTTCAGCCACAGGTCTCGGTTCCAAAGACTTCCTGCTTACCAAGTAAAAAAAAAAAACGTTTTGTTTTTATTTTCGAATATTTTTTATGTATTAGTTTTCCCTCACCATTAATTAACCTATGTCATGTTACTTTTAAAGAAAAGGAATAATAAAACTGTTAAAATGATCAAAAAAGAGTTATCAATTAATAGAAATTTTATTAAACTTAATCAAATAACAAATACATTCAAACAAATATAAAATATAACAACAAATATGTTGAACCAGAATAAAAGCAAATCTAAACTATTTCTCCATCATTCTTTCCATCAGTGCTAAAAATCTGTCCATCCTTCTTTTTCTCCTGTCCGCCCTGATCAGATCAAGGAGTTCACCATTCCTGCTGTTTTTCCTTTTTCTCCCTGATGATGCCGGCTGACTCCCAGCACTCTCCCTCTCATCTGTCTCCCCCACTGCTGCTCTTGGCCCTGGTGTGTCCTCAGGGATGGAGGTATTAGAGGAAGGTCTACGTCCCAACACCTCATCCATTTGGACAAACCAGGACCAGGTTTTCGCAGTGACCCCCCTCTCCTGACCTCAGATACTTGCAGTCCTAAAAACAAAGGAAATTAGAATTAGATGGGTTTCATTGTCACTGTACAACAGAGAATGCTGTGGGCAAAATGAGGTCAGACTCTCCTTCAAGATACTGGTTCTAGATGAGTAAGAAAAGAATAGAGAGGAGTAGAAGAACAAAGTCAAATTGGAAATCATAGCTGATAAAATTTGCAATAAACACAATTTTAATTCATCAACATGGGAGATGAAAATTGTGTTCTGTACCACCCGTGTACATACTTTATACTGTACTTTAGGCCTGCAAAGAAATGACCTTGTCCTGAAGGCCCATCTTCTCCAGGATCATCCTAAAGAGATGATGAAGAAAACAAGGGAAGAAAGAAAACATGCCAACTGTTAATCCAAGAATACGTTTCACAGCAGAACATAAACGGAACTATTGTGCTCCTATCCTGTGTAGAAGGACCTACTCTGGTACCTCCATGCCATCGTGGCTGCATTTTTGGCTCCAGTAAAGAGAGCATCGTTTTGATCACGGTGCTAGTCTGTTCATATGTCCCTAGCACAAATAACAAAAAATATTAGCAATGAAACAATACGAGAACAATCAAGCTAGTTCATGGTGTTTCATTAAAAAACATTCAAGCTCTTTGACAGTGATGCGTTTCTTAAAATCTCATTAAAACATTCAACCTAGTTTGTTTTTCGTGCGAAATGACTTGAATAAATACGACTGGAGCTCTTTTATGTTGGTTTTTTCCTATAAAACAGTTTACGGTGGTTTTTTTTTTTACCTTAAGTTACATAAAGAAAACCACTCAAGCTCATTTGCAGGGACATGTTTTAATATATTCTATATAAAAACAAAAAAAAGGATGAAAGACAAGTTTTAAATGTTTTTACTACTATTTTTTAACAAACTTACATTTGAAATTGTACTGCTCTCCCACTTCGTCAGCCATTGTTGCGAATCTGTAGAGTCCAGCGGGCGGCGCGCAAAGCATGCTGGGATAGCCTTCGCCGGTGAGGATACATCAGATCCATCCTCAAAATTCAGGAGGAACATATGAGGACGTGAGAATGAGTATCCTTCAAATTTGGACAGTACTCATCGCTACGCTGTGACCTCATCAAACTCAAAATGCGTCCTCACAAGCATCCTGCCCCTGCATTCGAACACACCCATAGTTTTTTCATGTTAATTGTTCTTTAACTCTTTTTCTTTAGAAAAGTAAAAAAAAAAAAAAAAAAAAGATTAACATCTTGGAATCGTCTTTGAACATTAAGACCTGCTGTCGTTCTTCATGCTCCAGGTGCAGGCCGTGGGGTCTACAGGTGCAAACAGTTGGCCTTCCAGCAATGAAGGGAACCCTGCAACTCCAACCCTCAGCTTGTCTGCAGACAGCTCAAACTCCACTTTCTCCTTGCTGACACCTTTGGGCATTCGTATAGAAATCGTGATGCCTTCTTCTGTCTGCTGCCAGAAGTAAAGTGGTTCTGAAATGAAAACAAATGTGTTGAAGTGGAAGACATTTTGAAATAGGCTGAGTTTACAACAGAATACAGGTGCTGATCATAAAATTAGAATATCATGACAAAGTTGATTTATTTCAATAGTTCCATTCAAAAAGCAAAGCCTGTAGAATAAATTAATTCACTACACACATGTAATGCTTCTTATGACCTGAAAACATGGCATGAGATAATGGGACACTGCAATTTTGATGACATTAAGAAACTGCAGGGAGTAATAGATGGGATGGACATCAAGGATAAAACAGTTGGAACAGAAAGGGACTGTGAAGTCTGTATAAAAGGTACATTTTGTCAGACAAGAAATAGAGCTGGATGCTAAAGCTAAGACTGTTTTGGAACTCGTGCATACAGATCTGGCAGGACCAATAAGTCCAGAAACAAAAGAAGGATTTAGGTATGCTGTTTCATTCACTGACGACTTTTCCGGTGCAATATTTGTTGTTACGGCCGCCGCCGTTTTGGAGCCCAGTGGTGTGCTGCGCTCCATTCCCTGTTCAGCAGCAGAGCAGCACCGTGGACAGCGGCTCCTTGGGAAGCTGTCCGTACGTTCAGGACCACGGACAGTGCCAGAGCAGCAGTCACGCCAGCTGGGACTTAGCGCCTCATCAGCTGGCTCTTCAAAAGCGGGCAGCTGGAGATCATCAGGGGAGAGAAATGTTTGGTGGTTACAGCAACGTGTGGTTCTCTCTCCTTGGTGGTTACAGCAACGTGTGGTTCTCTCTCCTTGGTGGTTAACTTGTCTGACGGTTTTGTGCTTTAAACCAGTTTGTTTGTTTCTTGTGAAGAAACAACCTTAGGACTTTTTGTGCGTGTTTGGGATAAGTTAAGTTAATCTGGCAAACTTTTGGTTTTGGTGTGTCTTTGAGACTATCTTTTGGTAAATTACCAGGTGGGGATCTCTCCCCTTTTTGAAGTCTCGTAGGTCCTGAGCTGTTTTTAGAGGTTTGGACACTTTTTTTTTATTATTCAAGTTTTTTTTATTAAGTTTTCCAAATTTTTACATACAAACAAAAACAAAATACCCAAATAACCCCCCCCCCTCCTCCTCCCATACAGCACTGGTTAACTCAAAACCACTCACAACCACCATTCATAATAACTTCAAAACATGCTATCCAACCACTTTTATATCTTTTTACCAATAAAAAACAAAAATTCATTCCAAGTTCCAAAATATGGGTCTTTTTTTCCCCTTCATTTTAGCAATTAATAGTTCATAAGATGCAATCTCCGTCATCGTTATTATCCAGTCTCTGTAAACAGGTGCCTCAGAACTTTTCCATTTACGCAGTATAACTCTAGCTGCTGATATAAAGCCTGTAAGAGCTAGGGCCCCTGCCGTTGTAGATATATTCGGTACACACGACAAGTCTCCTAGTAAACAAAGTAGAGCAGTTTCCGGGAGTGGTATACCCAACCACTCTTGCATTGTATTCAGTATTTTTTTCCAAAAAGGTTGAACAACATAGCATGACCACATAGAATGAATAAAAGTACCTTCCTGCCTTTTACATTTCCAGCATAAATTGTTCTTCATTAAACCCATTTTATAAAGACGAGCCGGTGTAAAATAATATCTATGGATTATCTTATAATGTGTCAGCTTTCCCCGTGCTTCTCTGGTAAACCATCCCATATTGGACATTATCCTTTGCCATGAATCTCTATCCAACCTTATGCTTAAATCCCTCTGCCAAACATGCCTTAAGCCATCATAATTTCCATATAATACTTTGGCTGCCATCTTATAAAACATAGATGCTGACTGATACTTTTCTGCCAGTTTTAAATAGAGTTGTACAACATTGTCCTCTTCAGGCAGCTCCTTAACCAAACTGTCCAAGCTACTTCTTATCTGGAAATATCTCCATAAGTTACCTGTATTATCCAGGTTAAATTGTAGCCTCAAGTCCTGATAAGATTTCACTGTTCTGTTGTCGATTAGATCCTCTAATTTTCTCATACCCCTCTCTCTCCACAAATTCCAACAGACGACTTCCTTTCCCACCCTTATTGCTGGGTTATACCAAATTGATGAGTATAATTGTTTATACTGGGATATCTTTAACCATTTGTGGAGTTTGTTCCAGATATTTTTAGAACGCTGTAATATTGGATTATTCTCTTTATGCTCAGCTTCCTTCTTTTGTGCTCTTTTTTGTGACACAGCTTCTAAAGGCCAAAAGGGGGCAGTAAATTCTTTTTCTATAGCTACCCATCCTAAATAAGTGTCCTCTTTACCACCATGTTTTGTTAAATTAGCCACTTCAAAGGCAATGTTATGCAGCTCCACATTTGGCAAAGCAAGACCCCGTCCCTTCTTGTTACATACATTTTTTGTTGATTTATCCTTGGTTTCTTTCCATTCCATAGATATTCCTTTACCGTCTAATTATATTGATAATAATACTCTTCACTTATTGAAATCGGAAGCATCATTGATAAATAATTAAATTGTGGCACAATCACCATTTTAATGGTATTAATTTTTCCCCATAATGTTAAATTCAGAACTTTCCATTTCTCCAGACTATACTTTATCTTAATAAGGAGAGGAGCCATATTAATGTGCATTATATCTGTTATATTAGCGCACATTTTAACCCCTAAATACTTCATCCCAGTTGAGAGCCATTTAAAATTCCCTGCAGTCACCATGGTAGAATAACAAGCTCTAGAAATTGCCATAGCCTCTGACTTATGCCAATTAACTTTATAACCCGAAATTTGAGAAAATAAATCAACTTTGTCAAGAAGAGCCTGTGTAGAAGATGTCGGCTCTGAAAGCAAACAAAGAATATCATCTGCGTAAAGAAACAATTTATGTTCTCTCCCACCTGCTTCCACCCCTTTAATCGCTCCCTCCCTTCTTATTGCAATTGCTAATGGCTCCATAAATAATATAAACAATAATGGGGACAAAGGGTCTCCTTGTTTTGTACCCCTATACTGTCTAAAAAAGGGGGAAATACAACCATTTGTAACTACAGCTGCCCTAGGCTTTGCATAGATTGCTTTAACCCATGTAAGGAAACCGCTCCCAAATCCAAATTTTTCCAAAATATTCAATAAACACTCCCATTCTACCCGATCAAATGCCTTCTCAGCATCAAGTGAGAAGGCAGCGACCGGCACATCGCTCTCCTGACTTTTCCACATCAAATGAAGTAATCTCCGCATATTATCAGATGAGGACCTTCCTTTAACAAAGCCCACCTGGTCAGGATGAATTAATATAGATAAAAGTTTTTCTAATCTCATGGCTAATATTTTTGTAAGGACCTTACAGTCAACATTCACCAGACTCACAGGCCTGAAGCTACCAGGATCCAACGGGTCTTTATCTTTTTTTAAGATCACTGATATAAGAGCTTCATAAAAAGTTTCAGGTAGGCATCCTACTGATTTTGCCTCCCTATAAAGCTCTGTTAGAATAGGCGCCAGAAGATCTATGTTAACCCTATAATATTCAATAGGAAATCCATGTATTCCTGGGGATTTCCCCCCCTTCATAGACTGAATTGCAGCTCGGACCTCCCGCTCAGTAATCGGTGCATCCAGTTCGTCAGCTTGTTGTAGTGATAGCTGAGGGAGTTCGAGCCCAGAAAAAAAGGTTTCCCATTTACTTAGGTCTATCTTGGCGTCAGTAGAATAAAGATTTGTATAATACATCTGAAACAACTGATTGATCTCAGACGTCTTAGTTACTACCTCCCCTTCATTGTTTCTAATTCCTGAAATAACATAAGAAGCCTCTTGTTGTTTCAACTGCCTTGCCAAGAGTTTACTAGCTTTATTTCCATTTTCAAAAAAATTTGCCCTGGTCCTGAAAAGCGCATATTCAGCCTTTTTGTTAAGTAACTCATTAAAATCCATTTTCAATTTACATACTTCTTTTAGTAGCAACTCATTGTAATTTAATAACAACTGCTTTTTTTTGTCTTTTAATTGGGATTCTAATAACCTCATTTTTGCCTCATCCAATCTTTTCTTCCTGCTTGAATATGCAATAATTTTATCCTTGATAAAAGCTTTAGAAGCATCCCAAACGGTACTAAATTTTTCTGTCGATCCAGTGTTCATTTGAAAAAAGAACTTAATATCTTCCTTCAGCATATCCTCAAATCCTGCATCTTGGAAAAGGGAAACATTAAGCCTCCATCGTTTACTTTTAGCCTGCTCCTCCCCTATTACAAGATCCAACGTAACAATTGCGTGGTCTGTAAGTGCCCTTGCTCCAATTTTACAGCTAACACACAAATCACTCATGCATTTAGAAATCAGAAAATAATCAATCCTTGAATAGGATTTATGCTTATGGGAGAAGAATATAAATTCCTTTTCTCTTGGATTAACAATCCTCCATATATCCACAAGACCCAGATCTTCCAGTAGTTGGTGAATAGCCTGTCTATCCCTAGGAATCTGTTTGCTATATGTTGTCTTATCCAGTATACCATCTTGCACCTGATTGAAATCCCCCCCTAACAAAACTTGTCCATCCAATGACCCCAGAAGCTTATTAATTTCATTAAAAAAATTGGGATCCTCTGTGTTAGGAGCATATATATTACAGAGGATTATTCTACTCCCATTAATTTTTGCTTCAACACATATGAATCTTCCCTCTTCATCTTCATGTTGATTTAATAATACAAAATTCATACTTTTATGCACCAAAATTGCGACCCTCCGTTTCTGACTATTAAAACAGCTGTAGAACACCTGCCCCACCCACATTGTTTTAAGTTTATCCGCTTCCTTATCTGTTAGATGCACTTCCTGGAGGAATGCTATATCTATCTTTTGAGATTTTAAATAGTTCAAACATTTCTTTCTCTTCACAGGATTTGACAGACCATTCACATTCCAAGTCACCATTTTAACACTTTTAACCATTTTCTCTTTCCATTGACAGCCAAGGATCAGAATCAATAAGGATAGCAAAACAAGTATATTAC